TTTGAGTTGCTCTGCAAGTTCTCGAACAGTTGTTTTGGGGTTTTCTTCCACCACTGATCGCAGAACATCATCATTAAGAGAGGAAGGCCTTCCACGACCTTCTTCATCTTCAAGGCTGAAATCTCCCTCCCGAAATTTTTTAAACCACCTTTGCACAGTGCACTCATTAACACAACCCTCGCCCCAGACTTGGTTAATGTTTCTAGCCGTTTGGGCTCCGCTTCGGCCGAGTTTAAACTCGTAAAAGAAAATCGTACGAAATTCTCGCTTTGACATTATAAGGATGACTGAATTATTTCCAAGTAGCGGAATGCTACAGAGGTAAACAAACAATATCATTTGGAAGAGGATTAATAAGTGTTGACATTCATACAAATGAGTAATCCTGTAAACGTAAACAGAATATTTTATATAGATTTTTTTTAATGAAAACTTAAAATCCTGCATTATTTTCCGGACAACCCAATAATATGTTAATAATGAATTAATTATTATTAAAAACGTAGTAATTAGTTATTCTAATTAAATATTCTTTTTATATAAGGTTTTTTATTGAGATTAATTGGATTAATATTAATTGGAATAATTAATATGATCAATTATGACCACTTAACAAATATGGAGTAATAATTAGTATTAACAATCAATAAAAACTTGTCCTTTTTTTTTCTTTACTAGATGTACGAAAATTCTAAGTTATCGTTTTTTTTCCAAACATTAATTTACATTATGATGTTATCATCAAAAGCTCAGATATTACAAGCCTTCTATCTAGACTACCGTATTACATGGTTTTTATACATTGTAAGACTTGTCGATCTAATCTGCTATATTTTTATAAATTCAATTACCTTGCATAGTGTGAAGTTTAGATTTTTGTAAATGGAATTTTGGTTTGACCGTTAGACCGATTTACCCACCGTCGTAAATGTCTATTAACAAGTTACAGTTGTAATTCCCTTTAGCTTCTAGGGGTAAAGCGAAGTAAATGGGGTCGTTAAACATTTTACATATGAAACTAATATTCTTATTAATTAACTGAAAAAGACTTGAAACTTGGAAGAGCATTTCGATATTGCAGACCTCCACTATTACTATGATTAGCAGCTATTCGTGTTTCGTGTATTTAAGATTCTGTAGGGGCGTCGGTGGCCGCAACTGTTTAGGCGTTGACACGGCGCTCAGCACTGTAAAGTAAAGGTCTCGGGTTCGAATCCAGCGGCCCTGCTTCGAACCCGACATACTTACAAATGGGATTTTTTTTCAAAATCACCGGCACCATTAGGGTTTATATGACCTATGCTGTTCTCGTAAAAAAGATGCTTTAGGGATCGATGTTGTTCCCTTTCCAACGGTTCCAGTTCTAATTACTGGACCTGTTGATTTATCTAATACTTTTGCTGGAAGTAGTAGGGAAGCAATGCGCGTCAGAAACTACAAAAACTTTATATGAACTTGTGAAACTTGACATGAAAGTTGTGTCTCACGATTTGGTCATAATATCTCAACGTGTTGCTTGTGAGAAACAATGGCTAATTTTTGAATTAAAAGAAAACGAAAAGGAATTGTCGGCCAGTTGAACAATGTCGATTGTTTCTGTTCGACCTGCGTGCTGCCCACGTGGATATTATCAAATTAAACGTTCATTATTGTATTTTCTTTGCATTCGTCTCGTCTCAGAGATGCGGCCGTGTGAACCTTTAATTATAAAGATTCTTTTTTCTATATTATTCGATATTTGGGCAAAAACGCTAAGATTTCTAGTTTAAAGAGCCGAACTTAACAGCCAATCTGTGAAAGGCTATTTTCCAGCGTCTAGAGATTACAGTTTTTCAATAGTTCCAAAGATTTTCTTCTTTCTATGCTGCTATTATTTATTTTTCTCACGTCTAATACGCTTCTGTTGCTGCCAGGCAGCAGTTTATTATATTAGTAACACATCCGAGATGCGTTTTTATATGATTTAATTGAACTCACGTGTGCAATTTTATAGTTAATAATCTGAGAATGGTATGTGCTGTGAATTCAAATTCTTTTAACTTCTCAAGATTACTTGAACTAATAATTTCGTTAGTGCCATCATTGGGGCAGAAAAATACTTCCGGAAACTCCATTGTCTTCTTTTTTTATCGTTATCTGAAGAAGTGCTAAAACATTACTCAAACTAATTTAATTAATCAGAAATTATTACTTTTACTTTTTTTTAAGTCTTTCATTTACGGTTTAAGCGGAAAGTCTGAAAGCAATTAAAGCGAAGTAGCGGGAAATGGAATAAAAACGTACAATAGACAATACTAATAATATAATACTAAATAACAATGGATACTACGTACAGTAGAGAGGGCTTGGGCAGTATGTTTAGTATGGATAGGATAAGCGAACTCAGATCAGTTCGTTGATAAAATGAACGTTTATGTGGTTGTAGACAGTGAGGAGTATCTTTTGGTTGGAAGGGTTGGTGCTCTGGATATGGGATGGCATGGTGGAACCCCACGGACCCACTCCGAGTGTTCAATTTGGTCGCGGTAATGTCTTAAAGTTAGTTGGGGTTTGTCGTTCAAAACAGAAACTTCTTTATACTTGTCAAGCCCTGTGTAAGGATTCCACTTCAGTCCTCTCTATGCATAGTTTAACGTGTTTGAAGTATCAACCACTTTTTTAACCTTTGCCTATTTTAAGGTTGTACAATCTTAAAGATACATAGTTATACATGATTAAATTTTTGATAAATGGTTTTAAATTTATTTAACAACCTTTAAGTTATTATGATGTTTACGATAATCTTAAAATAGATGGAAAGCTTGGGAAAAATGATTATATTTGCTTTTTTCATTCAGACTATACAGAGATCCACATTATTCGTTTAGTCATAGTTGCAGCCAGTCATAGTTGTTGATATACAGAGGAGGGCAAGGATGTTTTCTCAATGAAAAGTAAATTTTTCCACATTCAGTCTTGTTTTCCGATTTTTTCACCAGCCTTTGGTAAGCCAAGGTGATATTGTATGTTGGAGGTTGTATCAATAAATTGCGGTATCATCAACACAGGTGGTGGTGTTGGAATGTATAGGAAAGTCAGTAGATTGTATAGGGCGACAATAATCCCTTCTGGGACTCGGATCGGTATTGATTTAATGACTGAGTACACCTTGCCGCACTTCACTCTGGATGAGCGGGCAGATAAATAAGATTCTAGGATATTTAACAAGTATAGGTAGAAAATGTTGTTTATTGAGGATGCTCGCGTGCCGTACCCTACGAAAAGCGAATGCCACATCGTGGAACTTAACCCAAGCAATACTCTTTGCTGTTTAAAGCTAAGGAAATCATGTCAACAGCTCTAAAGCTAAAAGTAAGGTAACCAAATTTATAAAAAGGCATGATTTTATGTGATTAGCTGTTTTTAAAATGAATCTTTCTAATTAGAAGATTTTGAAAATCACAGGCTGCTGGGATGGATAATAGTTGGGAGGTTTGTGAGTTCAAAATTTACATTAAAAAGGTAAGTAAGAATTGAAAGGTAAGGTCATTTCATTATTTCGTTGTTAATTTCAGTTAATCTTAGCCTTTCAGCAAGCGTCCAATTCCGTGCGATTGCCCTTAGTTCGTTAAAGCGCGCATCGGCGTCCCGCTAACTGCTCGTGATTGCTCACCACGTCGCAATTAAAGTTAACGAGACCTTCCACAACAAGTCAGACATTCTCAAAACCGAAGAATCGCCTCATTTCGTTTAAGTCCCTTTGTCCGACCGGTGCTTTTCATGATTTAGTCCTGCCAGCCGGCTTAGAACCCCCCTTGAACTCCGGTGCCACGGGCTCCTAATTAGGAAGCATAAACTATCGCAACCGTTAACCTGCTCCATATACAATTGTGCTTGAAACGAGAAAAGGATATCCAGGATGAATGAAAGCCCTCGTTGCCTTGTATATAAACGTACCCGACGAATTATGGCGGTTTAAATAAGTATAAATCTTCTTTTATTCTAGTCCCTAGCTGGTAAGGGCTCTAGGAGACTGAGATTTTCTGCACATTCAATATTTATTTAAACACATTGGCATGTGGACAGTTGTTTTCGCCTTTAATCTCTCTTGGTTCACTCACATCCGTTTATGTTTCTTATCTTTTATAAACAATGACTGGAAATGGAACTGTTTATGCCACAGGATGTTTATGCCCTACAGGTAAGCGGGTCATGAGCTGTTTTTCAATAATATTCTTCTCTTTAAAGTGCGATTTTCTCGACCCTTGTCCTGTAGCTTGCTCGTTTTCCCCCAGAAAAAGATAATTATCTTTACTCTTTGGGACATCTGTTCACTTTACTTTTCTACGGTTTATATTTATAATATTCAATTTTCTTTGGGTGTCTTCGAAATATAATAATAATAATAATTGATTTCAATGTGATTTGTTCTCCTCTCATCAGTCTCGTTTCCTGAACGAGATTTGGACGTAGAAAGTAGAATTGCTAGAATATGAGCTTTTATTTTTTGTAAGCAATGTTATTTCTTTTAATTAAAGCCACATCTCGCATATTGTCAGAACTATGAGATCTTATTAGAAGTCCTCATGCTATAAAAGTAATGGTGGTCACTGAATGCTAGAATTGGCCTGTTTATTGGAAACTGAAAAACTGTACCAATTATTTTCTCCAAGCTCTATTAATATATATTTGTATGATGTATAGGTATTGTATTCTGTAGCAATACATTATTTTATAAATAAACTAGAAGATTTCAGCTTTGGGTTTACAAAAAAAGTGGGGAACATTCGACATAGTTTTCAAAGCTGACCTAAAAATTTAAACTGTTCACCATCTCCTGTTACACACCTTTCTCTAACAGACTTCCATCTTTTTCTTTTATTTGTGAGCTCAAAACTCTGGTGAAAGATGAAATTCGAAACTTTAGAAATCAGTACTCACCAAAACAAGAATAATTTATTATTTTGCTATCTGATTTTATTTACTCTGAAAGATCGCGTTTTATATATAGTTCGACTCACCTCTGCGTCCGTGTTTCCTTTGACGGGCGGCCTTTCTCGCCTGCTGGGGTAGTAGCTTGCTGCAAGGGGATCTCTGCTGATCGTGGTCACGGTGGTCCCGTTGCTCGCTTCCTGGGGTGCGTCCCACGCCTTCTCCGTCCTTCCTTCCGCCCAACCGGCTGCGTAAATAAGAAGCACTAATTTCAACATTGCACCACTTGTCTTTTAAAGCCCAGTACGCGCCCGAGATATTATTTTGCGCCACCCCCGTAACACCTGAAACAAGAAAAATGTAATAATTAGGTTTTTCTGTAATTAGGTCAATACATATAAGTGGGGAATGAAATTAGCTAAGTCGAAGCAAATTGCTTTATTTTATTTTTTTATTTTTTATGAGGCATCCGACAGCTTGGCCATTTCAGCCCCGATCGCATGCGAAATATTACAACACACATTCAATACGCATTCACACCTGTTTTTATATCTATCTCTATATCTCTATCTCTCATACACTCTTTTTCATTTTTCTCATTCACCCAATCACTTATCAGCCCCGCCCCATTCACTCTAATAAATACACTCGTTCATACAAAACACATATTTTTGACGGCTGTATACAATAAAAAATTCCCAATTCCACTAAAAAGCGGAACAGAGGACCGTGAATTCGCTACCGTGTCCGAGAACCGTTCTTAAATCCAGCGGCATGCCTACACGCTTTCTGTATGGAGCCAAGGCATGACACGCCTCAAAATTGCTTTATTGCTAAGTTTTCAGTTGTTTACAGCACTCCCATCCCATCATGACTATTGCTGTATAAGCAATTATTTAAATATTAAATTTATTGCTAGATTTCCACTTGTCTATCTTCTTTTTTAAAAAGATAGTTCCTACTCAAAGTAAGTTGTTTTCCAACGATTTCGAGCCCTTTAGCTCATCATCAGGTTGAAGGAGTTCTACAACCTGGTCTCTCGACATGAATTGCAAAAGTGAACCCGCCGATATCCCCCTCAACGCCAAATTAATTATAAATAGTGATTAAAGATAAAAGATAAAAAATTAGAATAATACCTTAATATTATTAAATTATTATAAAAATAATAACAATTAAAATAATTAATTTAATTATTTATGTGTATATTTAAAATGAGAGGTAGATCAAAATCTGTTATATTATTAATGCATTTATCTCTTATTTTTTAATTTCAAATTTCTCAAACCAATCTAGTTCTCTCCCTTTGTTGAAACTATGTATCACTGTTGTATTTAGATTTGGATTGAAATTATGTTTTGTTTCTTTTAGATGGTCCTTAAATTTCGAAAATTTGTTCGATTTGGGCAAGTGTTCTTTTAATCTCGTTTTTTATTTCTCTATATATTTAATATCATAATAATCACAATTAAGTTGGTAAACCAAGCTTTTTGCCAAGTTGTCTCCCTTGTCTTTAGGTTTTGAGAGGATGTTTTTACGTGAACCCGTACTTCTAAAAGCTATTCTAAACCTTCTTGTTTAAAAATTTTACTAACTTTTTCCAATAATTCACCAATGTACAGCAAACAACGGAAAACTAATGATTCATTTATGGTTGGGTGGCTTCCTATTTCTATTCTTTTAAATTTAACTTTTTTATTATTTTAACTAGCAACCTATCAATAATTATTTCTAGATACCCATTGTTTTTTTGCTAAGGATTTAATAGTTTTCTAATTCGTTTTTATAGTTAGCAGGTGTTAATGGAAGTTTTAACGTACGGTCTAAGAGCCAAATGAAACCAGCAGCCTTTTGGACCATGGGCGGGAAGAATCCGCTAGTATCATATTGTCTGTAGTTGTGGGTTTTCTGTTTACGTCTATTAGGTTTTCTATATATTTCTATTAGGTTGTTTATTATGGACAACTTTAGGTCTAAAAAGTTCAAACAACCATCTTTGTTAATTTCCAATGTAAAATTTATATTACGGTGAAGAGAATTAATAGTTGGAGGAATTCTTTTAGATCCTCTAATGTTCCCGACCAAATGCATAAAATATCGTCTACATAGCGTTTCCAAAAAGGAACAGATTTAATTAATTTGTTCTTGATTTGAAAAGATTTTTTTTTCGAAATTATCCATGAATATTTCGGTACAAAGTGGGGATAATGGAAACCCCATTGGTAACGCTTTCATTACGTAAAATTTATTATTGAATTTACAATAATTAGATAGTAGGCATATATTTAAAAGTTCTATTATATCATTTTTTACAAATTCGTTAATAGAATTCTCGGTAAGTTTTTGCTTTATGAGTTTAGTACAAGTAGTAGTAGTTTATTCACAAATATCCCCGTTTAATAATGTACTAAACTAATTAATTTCTTACAGCATTTACCATTGTAATATTTACTCGTGTTATAATTCCCGCTTTTCTCACGTTCAAATTGAGCGCCATTTAAAAACCAGCTTCTCATTGGAACGTCGCGTTGGCGGGGGTATCGGCGGGTTCACTTTTGCAATTCATGTCGAGAGACGTGGTTTTAGAAATCCTTCAATCTGATGATGAACTAAGGGCTCGAAATCGTTGGAAAACAACTTACTGTGAGTAGGAACTATCTTTTTAAAAAAAAAATTTAACACCCCACTCACTCCATCATTAATCATTTCTACTTGTCTATCTTTTCCGTTTTTAAATCCATCTCTATATCTCTATCTCTCACACACTCATTCTCATTTTTTCTCATTCATGATAACGCACGTACTTTCATTCACATGTGTACACATTTCTCTCTTTTTCTCTCACTCGTTCTCTTACTGTTTCATTCTTTCCCTCTCTAATTCTGTACTCTCTTTCATTCGCATGCACTCACATTTACATACTGACTTTAATTCTCACTCTCTCTCTCTCTCTCTCTCTCTCTCTCTCTCTCTCTCTCTCTCTCTTTCTCTCTCTCTCTCAATCTTTGTGGGTTAAAAGAAGTGAAGGGGAGAGAGGGAGAGTGAGTGAACGAGAGAGAGAGAGAGAGAGAGAGAGAGAGAGAGAGAGAGAGAGAGAAAGGCAGTCACATAATCATACACGACTTGATGTAGATCTCTCGTTTATTTCACAATATTTTGAACAACTTTCGAAACTACAAATGAATAAGATGTATTTTTTTATATTTGGTTTTATGAATATTTATGCTAATAAATTATGTTTGTTACTTTTCAAATGTTCAACACTGGAAGACGAAGAAAAAAATCATCAATTGGAATATGCCTAATTCGAAATTTTCTGTAACAATGCCTCAATAAAGACTCAATTAAAGCCGAGGTTTAATGGTGTCAACACACGCGTGTGCGCGTTTGCACATGCACAAAGATAGTGGGTGTTTGTGAGAGAGAGAGAAGACGAAAGGATGGAATAATAGGTTAATTAAAATGGTTTTGCTCTGTCCAACAAGTAATTGAAGTAAAATAAACCAGTTAACATGAGGACGTACCCTGTTTTGTTTTTTAAAATGTTTTTTAAAATTATATAATATAATTNATATATAATAATAGATCATTTATGATAATATGTGATATATAATAATAAAAAACAGAGTACATGCTCATGTTAACTGGTTTATTTTATTTCCATTAAGTGTAATTATTACATTCAATTCGTTAGATGTAATGCATAAGGTTAGGATAAGGGCTGAAGATGCTTACAATGCAACCGAAAAGTTTTCCCAAATAAATTAATATACAGTTGGAACTAAAGGCTTTATGGACATTCAACCTTTGACAACAGAGATCCACCACAAAAATTAAACAAACCTTGAAAAAATCGTAAATTAAAATTTATTATTTAGTGCTATAATTATTAAATATAATTTGTAGAAATTATTGTTTCTACATGGTTCAGTCCATGCTTTTGAGAACAACGATTTAAGGTCGTATAAATAGTACGTTTCAACTCTGGTCATATATAATATAATTTATTAAATTATGTAATAAATATAAGTGTAATAGGCAGTACCCTGCCTAGCCTATTTACATCTTTCTTTTGTCGATCTATCTCTCCCTCTCTTTCTCTCATTCATTCTCCCTCATTCTCACCCTCTCCTTTCCATCTCACTCTTTCTTTCTCCCACTTATTCACTGATAATAACATTCACTTACTTCCATTCATACACACACACTCATTATTATTATATGCTCTCTTTCACCTTCCCTCTCCCTCTCCCTCCATCTCTCTCTCTCTCTTTCCCTNCCTCCCTCCCTCCCTCCCTCCCTCAAGGTTTGATATAAAAGATACGTCTTGAAAGAGTACACCCATGGGATGAATTGTTGGTGAACTTAATTCTCATCTAGTATGAAGTATGTCTTTTCATTTTGCGATCCGTCTAATTTTGCTGATTGTTTCGGCTCGTAACCGTGAAGACCTAGTATAACAAGCATCTTGGTAACCCCTCTGGCTTTCCCTTTAAGTTTGCAGAGATGACTATCCGAACGTCCTACAAATCTAGAGTCCGAAACGGATCAGAAGAAGAGGGTGTGCTTCTTTTTATAAGACAACGTGTACAGCATAGCGCCTTAAAATGCAATGCTCTGTATCTTAATGGTGTTGTTTAAAGATGGTTGAATGAAAAGCTGAACGCTTATACTATAATATTTTACAATACATATTATACTTTTCAATTTAAAAAAAAAAATCCGAGGATATTTAATCTACGCGGTTATATAATCCCTCGGTGTGCTGGTGTTTTTCAAACAAAAAAGCCGATTTGTAAGTATGTCGGGTTCGAATGTAAGGCCGCTGGATTCGAACCTGGGACCTTTACCTTGCATTAATGAGCGCCTTGTCGCGCATAAACGGTTGCGCACCGACTCCTACTTTTAAATTACTACTAGTATCTTCATCAGAAAGGACATTATTTGCGTTGCATACCTCCAATACACTGTGCAACAGAAACATTTTTGTTTAACAAACACCTTACATTTTACCAGTTTTTACAAGATAATTCATGTAAAGAGTAGCTGATACATATAAACGAACGAATAAACTAATAAGTAAATACATAAATAGAAAAAATTGAAAAGTTAAATTTAAATCAAATTAATTGTTAATCCATTATATTTAGTGGTCTATTGACCAAATTACTTCTTTCAATTAATTAATCTTTTATGTAGGGTTTTGGTTGAAATGAAAAAGTTAGTGTCACGAGCGAGATTCGAACCCACAACCTTCGGCCTAATTTTTAATTCTTGCAGTTCATCTGGTAAATGTTTGTGTTAAAAACTGGAATGAGTGCATATGTTGGTAGATTACAGACAT